TGCTGCCTGCCTCTTGCCTTACCCTCTGCTAATTGTTGATAGGGCATACCTCCAGAAGGAGCAAGTCCCAGTCCCTCAAATGACTCACTCGCCTAATCGCCACATCATTCTTTTTCGCTCCCTCGGGCATGTCTCTCAGATGTTACTCATAGCTCAGGATTACATCCCGTGGGACCTACCGCAGTCATCGCCGAGTCGCATGACTAGATTGGCGTCACACCTGATCTTTGATACCTCGTTTCGCCAAGCTCCTGCTCAAGACAGTTGGGCAAGTGAGCCCCAATACCAACATTGTCGAACCAACAAGGCGTTGAAAACTTTACGCAAATCACATTTAGCACCATAAACATCTTCCGAAAAAAATTCAAGTACGTAAAAAAAACAAGTAATCAATAATTAATACGACTGGCGAACCAATGCAAATGACATCGAGAACGGGAGTGAAATAAAAGGCATCATCTCTTCAGTAACACACAAATACGCCTAGAAAAAATAAAATAAAACGTAACTCTGAGGAAAGTAACAAAACAATTATGGCGAGTTTATCTTCTACCATGGAAAAGTATTTATAATATACAATAAATAAAAGTACACGCGCAAGCGACAGCGACATGACATACTATACAATGTCCCATAAAATCGAGCACATCACATGTCAATCGCTGCACAACTGAACGTGAGATGTGAGAGCATATTTCATCGCAAAATAATGACAATTGATTGACGCGAAACAACCAATAAATCAATAAAACTTTCTCGGTCGATCGTTCATATAGCCGTATATTAACAACGTTTTGTGGGGTGGAGCATTAATCAGCATACAATAATATAAATAATATCAATGCTAAATGACTAGAAATCATGATAATTAAAATGAGCAGCACAAGAAGGTGAACCACGTGTTATGCACACACGCATTGCACCTGTTTTACGGGAGAAGGAGGGGGTCATATAACAGCGCATCTCTAAGCTGCGTTTATACACGGATCAGGAGTCAGCTAGTCGTATAAGACATGCGTATCGATTGCAGCGGAGAAACGCGCTGTCCTTAAGTTGGGATTGATGCAATCGTCATCAAATGTGTACAGCCACAGCCTTACGAAAAATATCTATTTTTTAAAAAGGGAAATCAACCAAAGCCACAAATTCCTGCACATTTTCCTTGACAAATCTCTGAATGAAAGCAACATTATGCGGTATATATACAGGCAAGGAACTACCCTAATTTTCGGTAGATAAGCCCGCGCCGATCACGTAAAAACACCTCCGCTAGTGCAGTGCACTTGCGTACATCTAGAAACAACCGCAACTTGCCCATAGGGATAATCAGAGTCAACCCGTGCGTTGCGCAGTTCGCAACGGCACGTTGAGAGATCCTCAACGCACGCTGTATGGGCGGAGACGCAGACGGCTCGAGCATGCGAGTGTGAATGTTCGCGCGAGAGAACGTGTCTAATCGGGCGAAACTGCGCAACGTGGCCGTTGAGAACTGCGCAACGCAGGGTTGACTTTCGATATGTGATTACGAAAAGTCATAGAACATGCAACACTGATGGCATCGAGCGTCTGGATTGTCTCCGCCCACTAACACGCTGTGCGTTGAGAATCTCTCAACGTGCCGTTGAGAACTGCGCAACGCACGGTTGAGTCTGATTATCCCTATGGGCAAGTTGCGGTTGTTTCTAGATGTACGCAAGTGCGCTGCACTAGGGGAGGTGTTTTTACGTGATCGGCGCGGGCTTATCTACCGAAAATTAGGGTAGTTCCTTGCCTGTATATATACCGCATAATGTTGCTTTCATTCAGAGATTTGTCAAGGAAAATGTGCAGGAATTTGTGGCTTTGGTTGATTTCCCTTTTTAAAAAATAGATGTTTTTCGTAAGGCTGTGGCTGT